CTATATATATTATATATATATATATATATATTATATATATATATATATATATATATATATATATATATATATATATATATATATATATATATATATATATATATATATATATATATATATACATATATATTGGCTTTCTTTTTGAGGGATTTTAATGGTCGTAAATTCTTCTCTGACTATTCAATCTAAAATCTCTACTTCCGCCACCTCCGCAGATGCCCCGTTCGAGGTAAGCACAAATGCGTCTCTGGTACAAAAGTAGGAGATGCATGTGCGACAACTCCCCACTAGATCATATGTGGCTGTGCCTTTCCATATGTGGATCAAGCAGTTGTGGGTCAAGCAGCTCCGAATTGCGTGAGACGAAAATGGATATGGGATCGCGATTTAATTCGGATTTGCGTTCGCTTGAGTCCATTCCTGCCTTTCCACAGACCTCGGTGCTTCCGCCAACCGGTTTGGGGAAGACATTGTCCATAGACTACAGATTGTTCATGCATGGAAATGTTATGAATGTCCACATATGATATGTTTATGTAGGGATCTATAGATGTACACCTCGCACACCTTGATGATGCGAGCCCAATATTTATATGCTCATGTCGCTAGCGGGATTTAGCTGAGACACAGGTGCGGCGCTTATCAGTTATCTAGATCCAGAAAGCCGATGTAGTACTGAACAGCAATTTGTACCCTACTACCTCTCACATTCGACGTTTTCCACCCTCAAGGCCCCTGTGTCCAGAAAACGGGTGCTAGTAGAGATGTCAGGTAGGGACCTATGTTTTTTCACGGTGCTTCTTTTTGATATGCTTGTCTATGATTTAATGTATAAACATGATTCTGTAATTCAATTAACCAACGCGTGCACAGATACGCACACATGTGCACACCTTTGGCTACGCAGGTTGTGGACGTCAAATAACATTGTCCGCTAAGTACTTGCTTTTCACCTACATCAGAAGGACTTGCAGATATGTATTTGAAGGCAATGGCCATTCCAAAGACATCCCGGCTGGATATAAGGGACTCGGATTCAGACAACTGAGGGCAAGTACTAACATCAAGGTCTCATATCAAGTCACGAGAAAGAAATACATTGGAGCCTACCCTCCATGAAAACGCAGATCTACAGTTTCACTGCTGACAGTCGAGATGTGACACAAGCTACCCTACACATTGTTCCCATCTGCATCCCTTCCAAAATATCCTGTCACGACAGGCCAGAATGAGATGCGTATATTTGGACTGGATCATATCATCTAATTGTGCGGTCCCCTAGGTACATGCATGCAGTTGCTGACTCGACCGCTTGCACACGCGGGAACTAAAAAAGCAAATGTCGGGGTTATACATATCCCTGAGACTATTTTTTATTTTACTTTGATACGGTTATGTTTAACATTGGCAGAAGTAGTTACCTTCTGAGATACTGAAAATCTTGCTATAAACTATCTTCCACCTGTTTACGACCCTAGGCTTGATCTGCAACAGCTGATAGTAGGCGAGTACATTGTAGCTACAGAGTGTAGTTATATGGCATGTACATACCATAGTTTGTGCGGATTTAGTGATTACATGTATGCATACAAACCTAAACGACACAATCTTATAAATGCTAGTATAACCATATATGAATAACTTATCGTTCTGAGTCTCAAGTGAATCGAAGGCTACTATCAGCCAGCCAAAAATATCGGGCAGATAAAATTTGAGCCATCCAGAAGTATTCTTTTATTTTTCGGAGAGTGTAAGGTATTTTTCTCATTACGCGAATTGTTAAGCTGTTAAGCAGTCGTAGAACTCCTAGTGGGTATAAGTCGTGCACTATCAAAATCACCACTTCCACTTCATTTCACAAGACCCAGATCTATATATAGTCTTTCGCGTTTTTCTCCTTGTTCGGAGCATGGAATACAAAACAGCACAACAATCGAGCAGTCGATGGGGGTTCAATTGCTTTTGGGAACTGTGCACTTTAGCAGCTCCTTTTTAGGTCGATTTTTGCAATCGCTCCATCAAACCCAGTCTTGGTGTGTGCTTAGGAATATATACTCTCAAGCATTCTAACTGTGATTGCTGACATATATGCGAGGATATATTATACGAACAACTTCAACGTAGAATTTTTATCAATAATGTGTCCACTGTTCACTAATAACCATATTTATACCCCGTCACTAGTTCGTTACCTCAGTCACTTTGGGCACAGTCGAGTGCATTTCTCCACCAAATTCCGTTAATGATTTGTTTCTGCGCTCATAACCCTTTCGTGCCAAAAACTGCGGCAGACCCATAGCCATGAATACAAAGTACGCAGTAATAACACAGGCGAATATGGGGATGGTTGCCGCAGGGCCTAGAATAAATGTGTTAGCAGAGAACACTACTAACGTGACCGGGATGGGCACCAGAGCACCCGGAATCATTGCAAATCCACACGATATAGCCAAGGCGCCGTTGATACTTGTCTCATTCATCATGATTCTCATCACATTGATACCGATAGCCACTATAGGTAAAAATAACCCTCCCACAAAGCCTGTTTCTATACACACATGATATGCGAAGATTTTGAGAATGGTACCTATCAGTATATCCACAGTGCCTATCTGCGCACCTTGTTCAATCACGACACCCATCTGCTCGATGCCATCACCCATCACCAGCGGCGAGATGAAGCCAAACAGCCCATATAACGAACCACCCAACGCCGCAATGAGAATGAAGCCTATATCATGCCCAACAGTCTTGTGTGCGACTTTAAAGAGAACTTGCACCATAATTTTGACCACTGCACCAACGAAACAGTAAAATAAGGCCACGGCTGCTGCCAATACTCCCAGAGACATGCCAATGAATACGTTGTACCATTCGTCCACGTACAGCACCTGACCTGGTGCTGTCAGTTTAGAGCTGTCGCTGAGAAATGTGTGGTCGATAATATTTGTGTACACGACGAAGGCCGTGAGTCCGGCTACGGCGAAAAATGTGAACATGCGCATGTAGGTGATTCCCCATGTGTTGAAAGGCATTCCTATCTCCATCACCAGCATCACCGCCACAAACGCGGTAGGCATGAAAGCACCAAATGCAGCTGAAATACCACACAATGTGAACAGTCTACGCCTCAGATCCTGTTCTTTCGCGAATATAGGCCCGGTACATAGCTTAGTCGCAACGAGATGACCCATTACGCCACCAAACGCGCCCAGGCCAGCTTCAGGTCCCACAGATGCACCACCCATCAAGGATATACAGGCCAGTAAGCACGTTTTGATACCCGAGACAGGGTCTGCGTGTTGGGTTTGGACCTCTTGTACGAAGGAAGGGATTGGACCTGTTTGTTTCAGTAGCACACGAAGAGTCCCCACAGTCAAGCCAGTCAGTGTGCCTACGAGAATCCACCACCATCTCCCTTGTAGCAGTTGCATAGTAGTGGGGTCGACGGCAAAGTCTTCATTACCATCTTGTTGGTACCACCATAATGGAAAGGCCATAACGAGGTTCATATAGACTACTCCAAACAAAGCAATGACTATCGAGAAAAGGAACACCACACTCGCGTCAATATAAAATAACGAGGGTTTGGGAAGCCAATGACCAAAGGCTTCTACACTCATAATAGGGGGCTTTTCTGGTGGTGTGTTCGCGGATGGCCCGCTCGTGTTGTTCTCACGATCACCATCTTTGACTGCATGAGTATTGCTATGCGGATGCGGCTGTGAGTGCTGCGGTGCTGGCGCGTGTACTAGCTCATCGTCACTAAATTTGGTATCCGTAGATTCCGAAGTACCTAGAGCAGGCATAGCTACGCTTTCAGAACGAGTCTCAATTTTCTCCTTCAAGCTAAACTCGACCTCCATCCTGCCCGAATTGGGCCGCAACCTATAATTGGGTTCAAAGGTGGAGGGAGGTTTTACGAGGTTCCTGATATGTACCTGGTTAAGTTTGTGAAGTATACACTAAAAACTGACAAACATAAAAATACACATGTTCTACAAAAGAAGTAAATATATTTTGTGTGGATATCGCATAGGTCCCTAATATATCAAGAGTGTATGTAGTACCCCTAAACCTATCGTTAAATCTGTTGCGGGAGCAGCGAGATCAATGAAAGCTCTGCGAACAGTTTGGGTTTTAGGGTTTTTAACCCTGAAATTTACAAATTCTGAAATCTTAAAAAGTTTCTGATTGGTATCATTTTGGCATCAACCTTCTCATTGGATAAAGTGACAGCAGGGACATACAGCAACATACACTTTCAGTGAATATTTACCTATTTATTACTAAATATGTAATGACTAACGAGAGGGGCCCCCGGCCTCGGGGCTCGGGTCACGGCCTCGCGGGTGGTCAAAATACTAAAATAGGCGCGCAGACATATGTACTGTGTACTCTACTCTCTCTAAAAAGAGAGAGTAGAGGACTCTAGTAGTAATAAATACACAGCAGAGACTCTAGAGAGGGTATATAAAATTAATAATTATACATACATAGCCTTCAACATATTAAGCCTCCTAAAAAGGAACCACTCTATATTGAAACATTTTGTTTGTTGTATAGGTATTTTATAGCCTTCTTCTGAATCATACATCATGAATCATATTATCATATTTCACATAGGATGCCATGATGGCGAAAGCTGAAAGACGGGCTTGTCGGGTAGTAGGGATGATTAATTGATACGATAAGTTGATAGCAGTTGACACACTCACTGCAACGGTCTATGCCCTTCAGAATTTACTTCGTATCCATGCTCAACAATTTGCGAATCTTGATACGCACATGCACACTCCAGCGGGACCTCAATACCTCAATGTTTTAGCGCCAATGTCGCCATCAGTTATGTTCACAAAAGAGAGCAAGTTATGTTGAAATAATACTTCGCATAAGTTGAGACATCCGGAGTGAGGCCAACACAGAAATAGTATCAACAAATGCGCACAACGTCCAACTCAAAATGGTGTATCTACACAGGCATACACACACACACGTACACGTGCACAAACAAACACACATATATATATATGTATTGAAACAAATATACAGTCACGAATACATACATATAGGTATAATTATATATACACGCAGATGTGTATATATATACATATGTATATATATATATACACACACATTTATTTACATTCATAAGATATATATATATATATACACCAGAAGATACTCACACACACACACATATATAAATTTATTTCTACATACACACCAGAAGATACACACACACATATATAAATTAATTTCTACCTACACACATATATATATACATAATATTTTTTTATACATATATATATATACACACACACACATATATATTTATATACATATATACGTAGGTATATGTATATATTTATAAGTACAAACACATATTCACACACGCACAAACACCAATTTAAAAACATAAATATATATATACTGTTGCATACGATTATATAATTACAATCGATATTGAGAAAACTGCTACGTACTGTCAAAGACAAACCCGTGTGACTTTGCCAGAGTCGGAGATACAGTACATTCTATAAGCGACACGCACGCACCCATAAAACACATACATACACTCGTTTACACACACACAGATATATAAAAAAATATATACATATACAGGAATACATGCATATATGGGTATACTTTCATATACTACACACAGATATATATATATATATACAAGAATATTTATATATATGCACCATGTTCTATCCGATTATTAAAAAAATAACCGGCATTGAGAAAATTGCCATTTACTGTCAAAAACATATCCGTGCACACCACTCGTGCCAGAGTCACACTCTCAACAAGTCCCTGCATATAGCCGAAATAACTACAGTTTATTGGCCACTACTTTATGCAAAGCAGCGTACGGATAAGGTAAACTACCAAGCTTACACTCCAGCCCCATATGATCCATTAAAGTCTCATCAGTCAGCATGCGAAGGCCAGTCCACTACCCACGGATGTATTTAACGCCCTATTCTTCATACAAATAGATAAATACTCGCACAAGGTTTAGCCACCACCAAGGAAGACCTCCAGAGTCAACTGATGTGAGCTGAACGACACCAATCCATCTGTCTCCGTTCGCATTAATGTCTGAGACGGCTGGAGAACCCCAACTGGATGATGTTGGCGGTGTAGTGGGGGGTGCTTGCCCACTATGAGATCGGATTTGACAATTTACTTCATGCCTATTTAGAGAAGCAGAAGAAAGAAAGGGCATATTTGAGATATGAAACAATCAGGGCTCGGGAAGAAATTTCAAAATACACAGCGTACGCATACACAACTTACACCAATCACATAGACTAGATACGATACACTTATTACACATTTGTACATACTTGCTTACAGGTACAAACAATTCTGAACTCAGCAAAAGCTATATCCGAGAACCAGCAAGTACACAAATCAAAATCAAACTCTTTGCTTACCGTTGCTCCATTTGCACTGAGTTAGCGCCTCCTCAATCTGCGCACAGGCCATGGTATCCCCATTGTTGCTCTGTAGACACTGCATGAACTGGTTGAACTCCAGGCCACACGGTCCTTGGGCCGAGGCCATAGGTGCAGGGGGTGGGGGCGCCTGTGCACCTCCGAACCAACTGGACTGTTCGGGTGCGGGGGGTGGGGGGGCGGCCGCCTCGGGTGCGGCTTCACCACTGCCACCCAGCATACCGGTCATGGCATGTCCCTGTTGTGTGTAGATGAGCGAGCACATGTGAGTGTAAGGTTTTTTTTTTGAAAATGTCTGAAAAGAAAAAGGGTATCCCTGGAGCTATCATGCATAGGATAGTAACCATGGCGATGAGTATGTAAACGAAATCGAACTATCTTATGAGCAATGTCAATCGGCAACATGGAACCACACAAGACGCTACACAAAGGATTGTGGTATACGCGTCAGTATTACATATCAGCAAAGTACGTCTGTTAGGGTCGACAACACACAAAAGCACACGCCCCTTAGAGTGACCGATGGCCAAAGATTGCACCCGGACAAAGCTCTGTTACTGCATATGACTACATGAATAAAACCTGTTACTTATTGGATAGCTGTTATAAATACATACGACATATTCACATTTGTAGAAACGTGCGTCCGAACGGAATATATATATATACAAAGGCATATATGCATAGACAATAAAATTCACATACGCACAGACATGTATATTCAACACACAATAACAACTTACCATTGTGTGGCCAATAGCAACACCGGCGGCGGTGCTAGCGATGCTCTGCATCATGCTGGGCTGTTGCATGCCTCCCATGGGCGAGGCCATCGCCCCAGCCGCAGGCACTACTGCTGAAGGTGCGCTGTGCGACGCTGGGGCACTGTGTGATGATGCGGAAGTGGGGGCGGAAGTGGGGGCTGCAGCGGGTGCGGGTGCGGCAGGTCGGGCTATATAGCAAAATGTGAAAAGAGGATAGGGTGAGATGATACAAATGAAAGGGAATGGGTAAGATAGATGTATTTTATATTTGATCACGTGGAATAGGTGTGAATATATGGAGGAGATATATAGGTATGTCAGCAGGAAAAGGATATGACACGATGTGGTTCATTAGCTGAGCACGTGAAGATAAAGGAAACAAAAAAAACCCACACACACACACACTCACATATATATATATGTCAATATATAAATACAAATATATATACAAATATATAAATATGTATATATATATTATACATCTAAAAATATATATATGTACGAATGATTATATACACACCTACAGAAATGTATACATATATACAAATAGATATATATATATATATAAACATAGAAAACCATACATACGTACATATATTTATGTATTTCCACACATACAAATACAAACACACACACATATATATATATGCACGTATATATATATATATATATATATATTGATGTATATATAT